GTATGCTCAGGTGCCTCAAATGTTACATGACACAGCAGTATGCATAAATAATCCTAGTTTTTTCACAGATGTGAAAAAGATGTGACTACCAGAGGCATTGAAAATGCCTCTTTACAAAGTTCCTCAAACCCATGCTCAGGCAAGAAAAAAGGAAGGAATAGTTTCTGCATCTCATTCTCCAAGGCTCCATAGACCTTTTTTAGGTTCCATTTCTGGAGATGTTATAATTTAGATTTTCTTCTCCACAAATTCCTTCACCGGCTTAGAGCTCTCATAGATATCAGAGTTGGCCCAAGGTTTCTTAGTACTGGAGATAAAATCATTCTTCCCTGCAATGATTTTTTCTTCATTTGTGCAGGTTCAAGATGAGGTAAAGAAGGAGCATTATGAAGGTATGGCTTCTTGGTGGCTACTTTTGGAATACTATGAGGTCTTTGAATTTTCCACCATCATTAGGGAAAAATCTAAGGCCTAGCAAATATCAGCAGAGGGTTTTGGATGCTGAGGTATAAATTGAAGGTAAGACACCATACAGATTGCAGGGTGTCCAGAAGAGTGTTGAAGGAAATTTTTGAGGCAGCTGTTGAAAATGAAATGGTTTCTTTCCCTTTTTCCAACTTTTCTATGTCCATATTTTCCTTCTGTTACCTAGTCAAAATTAAAATTTGAGTTATAATGGCATTGAAACCAAGTCATGGTACATATAAATTAAGACAAGTTTGAATACTTACAGAATTTTTGCTGATAGACACTCAACTGTCTTTTTAAGCCTTCAGATGGCCAATAGTGGGTATATAATATTTAAATAAAGAATAAGTTCATAATAAATATTGGGAAACAATGTTAAAACATCCTGAACAAAAATCTGAAAGTTTTCTAGATAGGAAAGGTTAAAGAGAGTTTCCCTGAAATTGCTTCTCTGTGCAGAGGCTGTGGTGAAGGCTGCCTAGTTTGAGAGGTAACAGAAATGTTTTTGGAAAATGCATGGGATGAAAGGAGAATTGTGTTACCTCATCACATCATTGTTTTAAAAGAAAAAAAATAGCTACAAAGTGTTTTTTGAGTCTAGGTTGTTGTGCTTGTCCCTCGTTTGGACATTAGGAAGTAAAACAATCTATCGGGTCCTGGTCCTTTTCTATTAATTTAAAATTAAATTAACACTGCAAAGAGGTTTTAGCTTTGGAGAGTCTAAAACAGAGGTTCACTCATGCTAGCAGTATGAGTCTATTTCTGTAAGTGTACTGACCCCTAGTGACTGCATCACTACTTAAATAATTTACTAGCAAAAGTATTTACTTGTCCTTTAAATAAACTCTCCCTATACAAGATAACTTTAGACCTCACTGGGTAAAATGCAGAACAACAGAGACAACCATCTGAAAGAATATTATGTCATATGGCAAGAGATACATTTATGATTTTGCAAAACACAATCATTATTATTATTATTTTAGCTGGTCTTAGTGTGTTTAACGTTGTGAAATGGAAATCTTAGGTATGAACTTAATCACAGACTACTTTGATCACTTTCTATTCCTCTGATTTCAGTCAAGAGTATTTGACTCACAGGAAGTACTAGTCTCTGGCCCTGTATTTATCATACAAAAGTGAGGTGTTCGTTAGTACTTGTGACCTCCTGTGTTGAAAGACTGATGACTTGAAAAACAGTATTTGTGATTTCCCTCTTTAGGTTTATCTTTTATTAGTAATTCTAGAGACAGAAAGCTTCAGTGAAAAGGGGAGATAAAATATACTGAGATTGTGGCTCCACAAGGATCTAGGCTTATTTACCTAATGCCATCATGGTCATGTCCTTCTTCTCCTGCTGTTACTTCCCTTTAAGCCTCTTAAACTGATGCTTAACCAAATCCTTTAGAGAGCCTTTTTGGCATGTTAAGGTGGCAGAAAGCTATTTTGCTATCTTGGCATTCTTTTTGTTGTTGTTGTTGTTTTTGTTTGTTTGTTTGTTTTTTTGGTGGGGCAAGGGAGAAGGGAAAGGAAAATGTTCTATTGATTTCAGGTGAAAAGTTTTTGAAATAACTCCGAAACATGTGTTCACAGAAAGACAAATTTCTTTTCAGTTCACTGTAGTCAAAGCTCAGTAGAATTTATTTAAAATAATTCCAGGCCTGTTTCAAGAAAGGGAAACAAACTGGCTAAAATTCAATACACAATATATTATTATATACATTTATTGCAAGTTTTCCATATATAAACAGTAGTTTAAAAAAAGTACTGTAAAAATACCATACAGTAGAGCAGTCTTTATTATAGTTGCCTCAAACTAGATTTTCCTAAGTTTACAACCTTCGATCATTAACTGTTTCCATATCTAGTAAAGAAAAACAGTGCAAGGAGATGAATGCTAGGACTCATTTCCTTTTCATGCTAGTTCAAAACTACAATAAATTTACAGATTAACAGAACTTTATTACTTTAAAGCCAATTAGGGGAAAGGAGCAAATGGACTATATATGCTTTAGATTTTGGAATGATTTCTCAAATTTCACCACATATATTTGAATGACAAATACATAAAATAACTCAGCTTATCTCTAGTTCACCGTTAATAAATTTAAAGATTGGATATTCATTTTTACTACATCAAATCCAGACTGTGTCTTCCATAACAATATTTTAGCTCAAACTATCTGGTGCTCAAGACATATATGACTTGCCAGGGCTCTTTAAGATCACCTTCTCTGTCACTATCTGATGCTGGAATCATCACGCACATCCAAAATTTACATCCATCCGCTCTTTTTACTAATTTCATGTAGATTCCTGGCAAACAGGCTATTGGTAAACATCTTACACATCCACTTTTTTTTGTACTGTACATTCACAACCAGAACAAAGAGGCTAATAGATGAATGAACAGAGTATCAATTGTTCTCTGAGTTACAACTGCTAAAGCACAGTGAAAATTTTGCACTGCTACTCCCATTACAAAAAATTTCACAGGAAAAATCTAAATATGGAATTGCAAAAAAATAAATATTTCTAAATTTTTTAAATGAACGCAAAAAAAACAGACTAGCATGATAATATCTGACTGCTGAAATTACATTCTTATTGAATTGAAAACTCCAAATTAAGGAGATATTGAGCAAATAATAAATGTAAAATGTTCTGTGAAAAAATGGGAATAAAAGCAATATTCCAGTAGTTAAAAAAAAAGAAAACTTGGCACATAATTCTTCTGAATTAAGATCTTAAAGTGCCTCAGACAGTCAAGATATAAAATCTTGCTACAGGGCATCATCTCCTACAATTTGAAGTTATAGAGTCTAATTAGAGAGAGGGAAACATTTTCAACACATTTAATCATCAATTTTAAGAGATGTTTCTCTCTGTTTTACATTTTCCACCTCTCAGCTCAAACAGATACTCCACATTTTTCTATTTTTTTTAATTAGGGGAGGAGATGCCCAACTGCATACATGGTTATAATAGTTATAGGAGCAATCACAGACCAATGTTTTGGCAAGATCATCTTGGTAAGGCAGGAGGAAGTTCTAGGATGAAGTTTGAAAGTCTGAGAAAGTCTGAGTCTCCTGGTTATGTTCTAAGAATGACCAAAGGTCAAGTAAATGCAAGAATGATTAAAAAAAAAAACCCAAAGATATAAATCCACAAATACTTAACTGTTTAGTAGTAGGTACATCAGTCAAAAACTCCCTTGCTACATCCTGGTACCTCCTGTGTAATACAAAATCTATTTGCTTAGGCCCCCCCCCCTTTTTTTTTTTCAGAGAGGATAGTTAAAGCAGGTTTCTTTCTGCTACGTGGTCTGCAACTCTGCCTGCAATAGACTGTTGTTTTGTCATTTTTTTTATCATTTGTTTCTATAGTGTTTTATTTCAAACATCTTTCTAGTCAATTACTCAAAGTTATTTTGAATTTCTGAGTGCATTTGTTACCTGATATTTTTATGGGCATGTTTTCCATTTGTATTTTCCCTTTTTCCATTTTTCTCTATCTCCTTAAAGTTCCTTCTTCCGGCTCTATGCCCTGCTCAGACCTGCTCTCTGGTGTGGCCATCTTTATATTGTTCAATATTCCTGTCTCCTGTTTCATAAAATGGGTTATATTTGAATGAAATTGATCAAAAAACATTCTTCCCAATTACAGGAAAGAAACAACCTCAGTGTGTCCCACAGGCCGAAAAAAAAAAAAAGAAAAGAAAAAGATTATGACAGGAATAAAAAGATTTAAATACAAAAACATCAAAACATCCTTCATATAGTAATTGTAGTAGTTGTCAGTAGTAACTTTAAGAGCATTGATATGGTCTGCTTCTTCAGAAAGCAACACCATATTATAGGTATCCTTCTCTTTGCCTTTGTCCAGCTTCTTACACAGTAGTTTAAAATGCGTATAAAAATATATTTTACTTAATTCTTGTTTTGTTGTGAAGATCAAGCTCAGAGTGAGTCCCCAGACATATGGTCAAATGTTATATCATACCATCTAAGAATCTGGCTTTTACATAAAAATGGACACTTTTTCGAATGCATTTGTGTTTCTGTTTACATTCAAAGTCCTCTGAAAATGCCCGAAGTATACATATATATAACAAATAGTATTTATGTACATTCATAATTCTTTAAAGCATCTGGACAAATAAAAAGGGGACAGAAGACATTTAAGGATTTTTTTCCCCACATGGACATGTTTTACTATCTGTTTTGCAGAGTACAACTACAGTCTATCAAAAATGACTTCAGCTGTCAAATTTTACAAACAGATTAAACCTGGTAACAGACTAAGGACCTTTATATGTACATATGCAGAACATACTTTTTAATTTGCATTTTTGTCAATTTTGAAATGTGACAGTGTACTTCCTGCATCCTATTTCCAGAATTTGCAATTTTATCACCTTCTGATCTCCAGTTCGGAAGTACTTGATAATCTCCTCCTTTTAATTTACATTTTTCTTGTAACAGGTGTATTGGCTTCACTTCTTTCTGCTCTCTGTAAATTTTTCTCCCTTTTTATTTGTTTCCATTTCTTCTTGGCTCTATTATCAAAATAAATAAATATACCGAACATTTTCATACAATTTAATCTGGTAAAACTGTATGTATTTTCAGAGACATTTAAAGAATTAAATCTTAAATGTTTATAAAAGTATAAGAGATATTCATATTTTGTCCTAATGTAAATTCATCCATTTTCAAAATATTCTGTGAAAGTATTTCTTTTTTTAAGAAACCTTCCCAAGCAGATTATCTGCAAATAATATGGTAGTTGCATGGTAGTAACCTACATATAGCAGAACCCTAGTGATAGATTACAGAAGGTCGTTCATCATTTACAGAAGGTAGATGATTTGGATCTATATGGAACCTCAAGAGAATTCTACGTCTCCAAGTGGAATCAAAATGGTGTAGATGCTTAGCACAAAGCTAGCTAGGTCAACCTGTATTAATTAAGAGGAATTAAGAGAAATAGGGCCACTGGAAGGGGTGTGAAATTCAAAATCTAAAAGTTGCATTTTTATGGCCCATCCCCTAATAGGAGGATCCTCCTTATCCTTTCAAAGATCAAAGTGGTAACTTGGGAAAGGTGTTACTGATGATAACAAGGAAAAGATTCACCCAGGAAAAAATATGTTTAGCAGTGTTCAAACTGATCTCTTTTTCCCTTTCAATGAAGCACTTTTATAGTAAGGTAGAAGACTAAGATGGCCAGAACTGAGAGACTGCTCTTCTATTCCACCTTATGAACTGTACAACTGCAGAGCAAAGTCTGTTATTATGTCAGTGGAGGAAAGAGATGGAAGATAAGGAAGAAAGGTCACAGACATTTGGCCTTTCACCTGACAAAAAGAAGACTGAGGTTCTAATCTCTGCTTCCAAGACAGGTATAAAATGTATTAGTGATTCTTAGGGTATCTTCTATGTATTTTAGTAGCCTAAGTCTTCTTAAGAATATGGACACAGGCTGATTAGCTTTCAGCAATTGCAGGTACTTCATGACCACATAAGTGAAGAAGAAGAAAGACTCCTATCTGCACTTAGATAAATTTTAACAAAGTTGCTTTGGCCAGTGCTACAAGTGAAAAAATACTTCATGTAGCTCCTCACTTAAAAGGTCAGTACACACTTTACATCAGAAATCATGGGTTATTATATAGGTAAAATTATATGTCTACAAATGGAACTATTAACAATTCCTTCAGAGCATTCAGCATCACTTAGAATCTTGCAGTCTCCTCCTGACAGAGGTTTTAAAAGCAATTTCATATTTTCTAGGTGGGAAGAGATATACCATCTCTAATAAAAAGACTGAATTGCAAATATATTTACAAAACTTACCTGAGTAGTTGTTCTCAGCTTAGAGAATGTTTTTGCATGTGGGTTTCTTTTCCTCCAAGTTGGTGCATTATAAGGTCCTGAAGTATTTTTGTCTATAGAGAAATACATAAATTCTTTTACTGTCTGTCAGTTAAAATATCAGGAAAGAGCTTTTTAGTTTGTTATATGAATTAAAAGCTACATAAATTGATGCATTGAGTGAATAATGCATCATCTCTAAAATACAACCTATTATTAATTTATTTAATAATAGCAGACATAAAAATGAACAGGCTAATATGTTAAAAATAATTTGTAATCATGCAGAATTTTTATGAGGCTCTTGGGATCTTCCAAATGAGAGGATCCTTCTAAGGACATTCTTTGTTGATAAAATAACTGTAATTTTGTTGAAAATCTTCCTAAGTACATCAATAACTTTTAGATTAAAAAAACCCTATAATCCATGCTCTATTTTTATTGCCACTTGCGAGTTCATGTGCTACACTATACAGAAGGAATTGCTTTTGCAATAAAGTATGCTCCTTAATGACTAATCATATTTTGTAAAATTTGGTAAATAACTAACATTATTAATATTCATATTTTCTGTTAATTCCAGATTAATTCCACTATTTTTAAATGTTAATATTGATCCTCAAATTTTAGGTGTATATTCAACATTTAACTACCATGGTATTCAGTTTTGTTTCAAAGAAGTCATACATTTGTGCAAACCAAATTTTGGGTTGGAAAATTTCAAAGCAAATGGCTCAGCTACTGTTGAAAACAAAAGGTAGTAAAAACTGTATTTTTTGTTTTTATGACAAAAATTCTGATCACCATTTATTTGAAATGCTTTATGCTTTTTTTAACCTGGAAAACCCATAAGTTGTATTCGTTCTATTAAGGATGCTCCTTTTGCAGGAAGACTTTGCAGGAGAGTCATAGATCATCTGAGAGCTTCATAAATTTGAATAACATTATTCAATTCACTCTTGTAAGGTGAAGATATCCCCAGTAATACAGATATGAAACTTGGTTAGCTGACAGCAAAAACATCCACTGATTTTGGTCACTCGTTCTTGATGATTTGGACTCGGTTTTGCTATTTAGCTAGCATTAAAGCAGCACTCTCTGTGTTCAAAGAACAAACACCCTTGATCATACGTGTTGCAGCAATGAGCGATCAGCACTTCTACAGATTAGACTAAGCTGTGATGTTAAGATTCTTTTCACCTAACTGTGTTCATCTTGAAGCAAGCAATATGTCTTCTAAAGAAGTTTTGTTTTATTGGAAGTGAAGACAGAAGGGCACTTCAAGGTAGAGATTCAACCCAACTTAGGTATGTAAAATTGGCAAGGTGAATCACTTTCTCCACATACACTTATTTAAAAGAGCTATTGATGAATTTGTAGCTGGAATAACAAAGGAGAAAACAAACTTAATTATCCAAAGTCACCATGGAGACTAGAATTAAAAAGGCAAATAAAATCCAGATTATGGTACTGCATTGTGTAAAGTTGTATTAGCGAGTTAAAAAAAAAAAAAGTGAAAGCTGTAAAATCAAAGCTATACCCAAAGCAGACTGCCAAAAACAAAGATACAAAAGATACAAGACTTGGAGTCCCACCTGAAAGCTTTTTGTCAAATTTCTGACATAGAAAGTACTATCAAGAGTAGAGTATTTCAAAGATGGAAAAAAGCAAAGAAAAATGTTATCCTGAAAGGATATCAGGAAGAATGTATTCAGTCCTCTGCCAAATAAAAATACAATGAGGCAACAAGCCCACAGTTATGTTTGAATGAATTTCAAGACTTTGCTTATTCAAGGAGAAAAAAAAAGAGTCATAACAAAACTCCAGGGAAATACAGGCTGAGGAGAAACATCACACAAAGCAAATGCATTTCTGGATCACCTGCTGGTAGAACAAAAGTTGAACAAGAACTGTTTCTTGAAACAAAGCTAAGATTCTACTACAAATTACTTCAAGCACTATTACTATCAGTATTTTGAGTAGAATGGAAAGTTAGAGATGGACTCTTATAAGTGTTTCTTAAACACTTTAGAAGGTTAAAGATGCTTTTCAGTTACACTCTTGAGAACAGATGACATCACACATTCTTCATTTGGCCTATTTAGAAATTCAACATGAAAAAATACAATTTTATAGTAAACTGTAGTGTATTCAAGATGAGATTATATTCACATTAATTCTCTGAACAGATGAGATGAAAAAACAGCAGCAAGTGAGGCATGGAGGGAGAGACAAAGGGAAAAGAGAAGAGAGAGAGAGAGAGACATCCATTCATAACTTCTTCAGTGTTGTCATATGAAAATTCTAGAAAGTGTCACAAGAAATGACAAAGATTGAAATCTCCAGGCCAGATTCAGACTCAAGGGAAAAATTCCAGTAGAACAGCAATGTTTCTTCCTAGATAAAAGCCTATGAAATTTTAGCAGATAATTCACATAGCTTTTAAGTATTTGTGTGTGCTTTCACAAGCAACATTATCTCTTCTTTCGGGAGTAGTCAAAATTCCTATTAACATAAAATCTGGAGATATGCACATAAGCATATCAATCAATGCATTCATCCCTTTTCACTGCTTACTGAAGTGCATTAGGCATATACATCGATTCCTGCTATGAAGGTGGCTAAATTACTGTTCATGAGTATTCTGTTCTATGCAACTTCTACCACATATCTGTCTATGGATATGACAACGACCTCCTTAGAAAATTAAGCTGAATAAAATTTATTTTTGACCATATTAAGCATGAGGCTGCAGTGACAAAAGTGAAAGCTGTTCAGTTTACAGCTCAAAATATATTTGAGGCTTTTTAAGTATCCTATGTGACCCTGAACTCACCCATACAGCCATTGAGCTTTGGTTCTTGGAAGACTGTGACATTACGGTAGAATACATATGTTGATCTTCCAGGTTCTGAAGAATTCAAGAAAGTCCTTCTTCCAGCTGCTCTCATAGAAGGAATGTAAGAAGTGCTCTCATCAGCCTTAATTTGATCATTTCTTTGATAATTTGCTTTAATTTGGGGGTTTGAAGTGTGCATTGCTATAAATAAAAAATAAAGCTTATGTTACAAAAAAACATTGTGGTATTAATCAAAATTTGTCAAATCACAATAGACTGAAAAGCAAAACAAAATAAATGCTCTTTATGGACAACAGATATTCCATATTTTATACTATGTACAGAAATTAACTGGCTATATCACATCATCTAATAGTTTAGTAAATTAAAATGAATAACCCAACCATATCTCAAAATACCTTTGCCTGTTACTGTACTTGGCGATTTTCTTGTTTCCTCAGAAATCCATTTCTTTTTCTTTACTCCTTTAAATTGATGTTTCTTTACCAGCTCAGTGAAGTTCGTTGCTAAGGGATCAAAATAATACAAATTTACTCATTTCAAAAAGCACACATAATTTCGGTATCAAAAATGCTAAGGTGTTTGCAAGAACTATTCTCCCATTTCACGTACATGTCCTCTAGCAGAGTTTGCAGTCTCAAAATCTTGACAGCAAACTCAAAACTGCCTAAAAACACAGAGACCAACAATATCTGGAATTAATGCAATTATTTTGTTGAGCTCAGAATGTTTCTCATTGGAAATGAGAAACTCTTCATTAATACCTCATTTAGGGATTATAGTGTAAAACTACAGGCATGCTTTAAACCACAGAGTTTTAACAACTGTGAATCGAAAGTTTTATGCAATTTATATGCATTTCAACAGTGAAAACAAATCCTCTTCCAAAATCCAAGTATAACATACAAAGCAGAACTCAATGCAAGTCCATTGAGTCCAAAATACCAGTGGCAACTTTGCAGCTTGAACTGTGTGTAGTTACAAGGTTCTTTAAAAATAGCAACAATAAACAAATGAGCATGCAAACAAGCAAGCAAAACTTTTTTTCCTGTCTTCTGGTGTTTATTATTCATCCCTTGCACATAAGGTATGCTTTGTCTCTCTCTGTTATATTAGTTCAGCTATTTGTTGCACTGTAAACTGAAGTATTAAACAATGTGGAATAAAAAGAGAGAACTTAGATTTATAAAAGGCTGTTTTTGATCCTCAATAACTCCAGCAATTCAGTTTACAGCATGGGCTCACACACAGCTGAACTGGAATTGGTGACATGATGACATAAAAAGTATTGCAGAAATACAAGCGAATAACTAAAGATAGGAAATCTCTGAGCACATTACACGTAGTTACAAGGGCATAACTCTATAATAAGCATGTTAGAATGTCTCAAGATCATCTAACACTGTTGTCTGATCCACTGTCCTCTAAATGTTGCCTGTGGACTACCTGACGAGAGCCATCCTGTCACCACACTGTACAGGCAGTATGCAAACCATGGGAACGTGCCCTCGTGAGCCCATGGAGAACAATGAACTCTGAAGGACACCTTCTGGATGAACTAAGATTGTCTCCAACAGACTGCAAGTCTAACTAGATATATCCTGAATTTGGGCAGTTAGCTAATATAACAAAAGACTGAATCCTTTTAAGTAGATTATATAAAGTGTTATGTTTTTCTCTAGATCTTATTTTTATTGATTTCATTATGACTCATTTTCTGTGAGATCTCACCTAACTACAAATCTGTTTTACTTAATAGAAGCTGTAAGAAGCTTCATAGAACTTCACATGGCCAAACACGGGCTTCAGAAAGACTTTGCTAACTCAGGGACTGTTCATGCTCACACTGGATTTAATGGAGGATGAAAACTCATCACAAATTCAGATCATAACTTACAACAATTGCTGTTGTCATTTAATGAAAGAAATCATACTATTAATGGAAATTTTCACTTCAAATCGGTTATGCAAAGCATATAATGTTCAATCCACTCGCAGAAGAACAAAAAAATCTGAACTAAAAATATTCAATAATAATTAAATACCTTTCATGTTAGAATATTTTGATATAATTGGTTCTTTTTGCCCAACTAATGACTCACTTCCTTTTCCTTCACCAAATAAGTTTCTCTGTGCCATAAAACAATCACCTCCTATAGAAAATGAATACACAAAATTGTTTATACAGAAAAGTACAGTTAAAATTTTAATGCAAACAATGCAGTGTGTTATTTTTATAATTACATTAAATTTTCACCAAGATGAATGAAAAATGTAAAAAATATAATTAATCCAAATAACTGATACAATAAAGCCGATACAAATTCTGATAAAGTCTATTAAAAAAAAGCTTTTAATTCATATGGGTGTTGACAGAAATGCAATTATAGAACTGCCCTACAACAGACTATCTACAGAATCATAAATGTTGTACATACAAGTCACAGGGAAAGAAGTAGTGTGCAAGACACATTTGTACTGTGTAGTACACTTCTTGAGCTGTAAGAAGCATTCTAATCTGTTCAAAGCTAGACAAAGCTTAGTTAGCATAGTACCGCATTATTTTGTATAGAGCAAGTAGGAAAAAAGAATACAGCAATAATTCCCTTGCTACTAATAAATGTTTACAAAAATAGCAGTAAATACTGTCAGGTAAACATAAATTTATGAAGTATATAAGGTATTTGTCATCCTTAACGACATGATTCCATACTGAAGTCAATGACGTAAAGCGCTATATCCTCATTAATGTCAACTGTATTTGCACAGAGGGATCAGCTCCCACGACACAAGATGCAGTGCTGGAGCTTAATATTTCTCTATATGAAAAATACAAAGCCTGTTCATCATAACTAGGAATAGACTCTCTTTTTAAAATATATAAATTTGTAGGCATTTCTATACTTGCTTTTTTATAATGTCAGAGAACCTTTTCTTTTCCAAAATCATGGAGAAATCACGATTGCAAACAATAAAAAGAAAATATTTTATTATAATCTCAAGAGAAGTGGGATTATAAACATTGTTTTAATTATTATAATTAATGGTGAGATATGAGAAAAAGTATATAAAAAATAAGGAAATAAGAATAACCAAAAAATAAAATGGTAAATAGTACATGCATATTCAGTTACCATATTTATCAAAGGATATAAGTAGTAATGAAAAGCATATACTGAAGTATATTACCTCCATTTTCAAATGTTCTAAGATTAGTTCTGGTATTATCCTTTAATGATACTGAAGTCACTCCTTGCCTTTTTGAATTATTAAATGTTGTAGGAACTGTATTACCATCACCTGGAAAGTCAGCAGAAGAAACTTCTTAGCTGCTTCTGTCATTCTACTCCTCCCACTGAGTTAGCAATTAGTTTAGAGCAAATTCCTTTTCATCTTTTATGTTCTTTTTTCTCTTGTAATTTGGATACTGCCTAATGTAACTCAAGCACTTGACATATAGTCATTATGTTTTTAAGAAATGTAACAATAAAGCAGACACTTCTCATGAATGTTGACTATGAATCTCACCTTACCTAATTTATAGCATTTCTAGCATATATGACCCTGCAACACCTAAATCCTTACGGAACTTAACCAAAAAAAAGAGTTTTAGGGAGATAAATTTCTCTTTTTTGAAATATAAAATTATACAAAACAGATACTTCTATTAAAAGTTAGAAATATTTATGTGACTGATTTCCTTGTCTGTAGTCTAAATATTTCTAAATAATGCCAGAAAACCTTATCAAAATAGTTTTGATAACATAACAATTTTTACATGTAGAAATAAACAAGAGAAGAACATTTTTTGTCCAAGTAATATGGACATAATATATCGAGTAATTTCAGCTAGAAAAATTTGTCAGTAAAAAAAAACAGACTTAGGGTACCTGTATTACTCAGGATAGTGAGTATTTTTCCTTTTTCAGTTTTTTATTAACTCATCTTCTTGCTCACATCTATATAAATCAAATTTATCAAGATTTTACCCCTGAGATTTCTACTACAGTAAAACAATGAGATTTTATTATTAAAAGTCGCAGGTCATTCCTCCTCCAGTCATTTTTAATGGCTCACCTCCTAGTTACTCTAGTGCCTTAGAATACTAAAACCATAAACCTCTCTCAAAAGAAGGAATTATATTATCAATTATTCCACAAAAAGTACAGATTTTTCAACCATGCCACCTCATTGAAGATGGAGGGGAAAAAATAAGTTTGATAAATATTTATTAATTTTCATTTCTTTATTGGATAAAGTCCAAAATTCTAAAGAAAAGGTAAACTTATTTCATAAGACACTTAAATGGAGACTTATTTTGTCTAAATTTAGTTACCTAAAAGTTGCATATAAAGCTAAGTAAAGTTATCTAGACACCCCAGATAGTCAAAAAAAGCAGAGCAGCTGTGAGAAAGCAAATTATTATTCGCTTTATCTTTGCTTATTTATCTTTGCCTTTAGCTTTATCTTATGATTCAATGAATAGTCCGACAGGAGAATCTATCTCTCTCAATTTAAAATAGGGAGAAACTATATAATAAACAGATGCAAACTTCAGGATGGCTGATTTTGGCCTAGGAAAACCTTAATCTTGAAGGAAAAATATATGAAAGACCTATGACATGGATCTCAGGAAAGTTATACAAAAGATTGATGTCACACTATTTCTATTTTTTTTACCTATAATCAATACAAGTGAGTTACCAGATGTGAGTTACCATATTCATGCAGCGAAAATTATAGAAGGAATTTCACGGAACTCTTTACATGCAATATTCTATTTTCACTCAGCTAAAAATGGGAGAAGGAGGGCTAAACTGTCCTACAGTCTCTCCCTGCAACAATGATTTTAAAAAGGGGTAAGCACTGTCCAAGAAGATGAAAAGTACTTGCCTTTCTGCAAATCTTTCCTGACAGCTCCCAAAGGTAGTAGCTCCTCTTCCAGAGCTGAAGACACTGTTTTTGTTGATTGGTGCTCCTGAAGAGACTGAATCCCGTAATACTCTCCTAACCATATCCCGGCAAAGGAAAAAAAGTTTACTACATTGGCAACGTTGCTGTTTACTGAAGAGTCATTAATTTCATATTTACCAGATTTATAGCACATTTCCTTTATTGCTCTTTCCTCCTCCATGTCTGCAGCAGTCTTAACCAGCAAATAAGAAATATCTGTAGGAATTATTTTAAAAAGATTATTAAACCTTTACAAAGATCTTCAACATTTCTTAGTGACCAAATACCCTAATGGATTTCATTTCAATCACAATTTTCTTCCCCACTGCAACCTCTCCTGAACAAAATAACTATTCCTGACATACGTATTTCCAAATGCAATGTAATTTCAGTTAAAACAAATACTAAGAACCTAATGTTTGTTGATTCAAAATGATTCAAAATCATCTTCAGTACTCATTTTCAAAACATTTTTTTTTGTTTACAACCAAAACGTAAATCTTTTGATGAAGCATATCCCGAGGGACTGCTTGTCACAATAGCTCTGCCCTGGTACTGTCCTCTGATGTCTACTGGCAGAGCTGAATGTGTGCATCCCAGTTAAAGTCAATTGGATTAGCAAAGTCCTGTTTTTTACCTTAATATATTTCGTTCTGAGTGAAAAAGGTTTAAGAAGCATTAACAGGCAGCCCCTTCTATCCCACCTGAAGCACAAGGAGGTGGGGGGTGAAGGGCAGCTTGGCGCTGAGAACAGTAATTTGCAGAATGAGAATTTGCAGAATGCACATGTCAGCTCACTTCGGTTTGCTAGGGATGTGCAATTCATTCAATTCCTATGAATCTCATTATATCATTTATCATTTATTCTATCATTTATAAAAGACTTGTCTAGGTGAGACAAATTCAAACTACAGGTTTGATTAAAAATACATTTACTTAAACTAGTGAAGAAAATATTTGGAGCTGCACAGACCAGAATTTTTTTTT